TTTTTTTTTTTGGGGTGTGTGAGCAAAAGCCTGAGTGATATCTGTGAACCCTCTAGGCATCTGCTATTTGTTAAGTACAGCTAAGCAGCTTAAGCTCTCGATCTGAAACACACCAGGACACACACTAGCGCACTCACAACAGGAACATGGGAAACAGATAATTAAAGAAGAGCATGAAAGTATGAAGTATGTGTTATACCCTTCCATTGATGGCATCCAGGTCCAGTTCCGCCTTCTTGGCCCATTTCTGCCAAAAGTCGGGATCTTCCAGAGAAATGTCGGTTCTGTTACCGGGCGCAACAAAACTGGCCTATTGAGATGGAAGAAAAGTTAACCGGTGACAATCATGAAGCCGACATTTACGGTTGCGTACAAACTTGAATCTTTGGATTAGTAAAGTCCTCACCTTGGCGAAAGTGGAGCCTTTGCCCTCCGACTCTATGGTTATGGTGTGGGTCCGCCTCTGAAGAATCTGGTCAATGTCTTCCTCACAGAATTTGGAGCCTTCATCCTCCTCATCCATGAGAGCACCATACGCTCCCTTTCTCAGCAGGTCTTCGATTTCTTTCTTGGACAATTGCTGAACCTGGGCAAAAAATAGAAGCTTGTGAGTGCACAACAAATTATGCGTGCTGCGACAGCGTTACTGTGATAATGGTGCCGTGCGGGTTGAGGAATGTCCTCTCAAGTTAACCAGGGAGCGTACAATAAGGAGCAGATTGGATGTACGGAACACACTCATCTGAGCTCCTTCAGCATGTTACTGGGTGTGCATCTTACCCCGCTGTTGGCATTCTCACGCCCACTCATGCTCTGGAGGACAGCCTTGTCGAGACCCAGCTTCAGACTGGCCTTATCAAACATCTCCCTCTCGTAACTGTTTCTGGTGATTAGCCGATAGATTTTTACAGCTTTGGACTGGCCGATACGATGACATCTTGCCTGGGCCTGAAAAAGGAAGGTTGTCAAAAGCACGTCACTGTATACCACAATTTGGGAGTCCAATTCTAAGGCGAGACTATGGATGATCAGGCAAAGCGAAAAATAAACAAATAAATACAAATGAATGATAGGGTCTCTCTACTTAATTCATACCTGCAGGTCATTCTGAGGGTTCCAGTCAGAATCAAAGATTATGCAAGTATCCGCTGCAGTCAGGTTAATGCCAAGTCCGCCGGCTCTCGTACACAGCAGGAAGACAAAACGGTCAGAATCCGGTCTGGAGAAGCGGTCTATGGCCGCCTGCCGCAGATTACCGCGAACTCTGCCGTCAATGCGCTCATAGGGGTAACTGGACACCAAAATGGACCCCACGTGTTAATAATGATGCCGGCGACAAGTTGCTGGAGCAGAGAGCTCTGGAACCCCCACCGAAAAACGACAATCCTTCTCACCGTTTCTGGATGAGATAATCCTCCAAAATGTCCAGGCACCGGACCATCTGACTGAAAACCAGGACTCTGTGACCACCGGCCTTCAGTTTAGGCAGAAGTTTGTCAATGAGCACCAGCTTGCCAGCAGCATGGACCATCGCTTGAAGGGGCATATCAGACATGTCTGTTCCACTGTGGGAGTCCCTAAACTCCTCAATGATCTTCTCCTCCGCTCCTGCGTTTGAGGACAAAAAACAAACAAAAAAACCCATAAATGATCAACCGGAACACCTGCTTTGCTGCATCATACTTATCGAAGGGGTTCGAATGCATACCGTTAATGAGATAGGGATGGTTACAGCATTTCCTTAGCTCCATCATGGTGTTGAGGAGGTTGGGGACACCTCCGCCTCCTCCTCCTCCGCCACCTGCTCCTCCCCCTCCTCCTGCACCTCCTTTTGACAAGAAGGAGAAGTTCTTCTCCAGAATTGCTCGATAGTATTTCTTCTGGATGTTGGTGAGCTCCACCTAGCAGAAAGAGATGAATATGTGCTCACTTGCCCATAGGATGATTTCAACAAAATGCTCCTACTATTGCATTTCAGCAACATAAACAAAACAGACGACTCTCCGATCATTGATGAAGCCCGAGCATCACCTCAATGATGGTCTCCTCCTTAGGGGCCAGGTTCTTTTCAACGTCCTCCTTTAGTCTTCTCAACATCATGGGTTTCAGAATGCCCTGTAGATTCTGAACCTGTGGTACAGACAGAGCGTTTAGCCTTTTATGCTCGGACTCAACTCCGAATCTGGATTTTTAAGAAAAGTGTACAACCCCCAGATGACTTTCCTACCTGCTCTTCAGTCTTTAGGTCTCCAAATTCAGTCATGAATGTTTGTTCGGACGGGAAACGTTCTGGTTCCAGAAAGTTGAGTAAGCTAAAAAGCTCCTCCACTGTGTTTTGAAGCGGAGTCCCTGTCAACAAAACTTTGTGTTCCTGGATGAGAGAGCGGCAAGCCACAAAAAAATTCAGTGGGTGGACAATAAAGTACAACCAATAAAAATCACATGAGTAAAAACATGGAAAAATAAAGAGACCCTTCTAAGCAGAGTCACTCAAATCGCAAACAACCGTGCTGATGCTCACCATGTCCATCATCTTTAGTCCTTCCAGTAGTTTGCAGTTTCGGTTTTTCAGGCGGTGGGCTTCATCTATGACCACACAGCGCCACGGGATGCCACGAAGCTCTGGACAGTCGGCCAGAATCATCTCAAAGGTGGTTATAACAGCGTCAAACCGATACGCCCCCTTTATTATTTTACCCTTGGAAAGGCAAGAGGAACAGGCAAACAGAGATGGAGTGATTGATTACGATATCCCAGAGTTCCCGTCAGCGGTGGACTTTGCATGTCTACGGATGTTTAAAAACTACATAACGAGATCTGACCTATCAATTGATATCACTTAGAAGGAATAATATATCTTAAAGAAGCTTTGAAAAGACACGTCTAAGTTCAGTTACCTGTGAATCTCTGAAGTACATCTCATAGGCCTGGATGGTTCTGCGGCTAGCCTGGCTGCCATGGTAGACAACAGCATTAAGCTCAGTCCATGTCCTGAACTCTCTCTCCCAGTTGGGAATTGTAGAAAGCGGGGCAATAACCAAGAATGGCCCCTGAATGCCCTTCATGTAAATTTCGTAGAGGAATGTTATGGACTGGATCGTTTTTCCAAGACCCATCTCGTCAGCCAGTATACAGTTACGCCTGTGAAGGACAGGGGGAGGACTTGGTCAACGGCCTTATGAACAGAAAAGACTTTGTCATCCACATTTATTCAAGCACATTTCGCACTAAGCGGCTAAATGCAGCTGCAAGCCAGTCATGGAAGACGAGTAAGCAACTCAGACAAGCTCGTCAAATGTATTTTGTGAAGCAATTTTAACTCAATAAACTATTGTACACCATTAAATTCTGGTCAATGTTGATGACCAGAACCAAACCCATAAATGTATCATTTATGGGTTTGGTTCACACTTAGTATAGAAGGGTAAAAGGCTTAAAAAAAAAAATCTAAACCATATTTGTGGCTAACCACATGAGTGATGAGGGACTGATGCACTACCGAACTGTATCAATATCATACTTGGTTAGTCTTTAAATTTAGTTATTAGCAAAAGACAAAAAAAAAAAAGTTCAGTTAGATTTACTTACGAGTTGTACCAGTTGAAGGTTAGCCAGTTGAGACCTTCTAGTTGGTATTCCCTGAGTGCGTTGCTGTTCCTGTATTCCCTTGACCCTTCCAATTTTTTCCATTCAGCAGCCAAAGGCCGATCCTAAACATCGGAAGAGGAATAAAATGCTTTATTCATAATGTACTTTACATCAAACAAATTGCCTCAAACTGCTGCTGCGCTGCTGAAACGGCTCCCAACTTGACCCCAAATATCACCTATGCCTAAATAGTCAGTCCCAATCGAGCATCATTTCTTTGTGCAAGCTCGGAGGTTCCTCCTGAGTGGTGCGCATGCTTTCAGGGCCGCCAGAGAAGCAGTCCTCAGTGGCCAGGCAGTACTCTCCTCCCAGGCCAATGGCCAGTGTGTGCGGGGAAATTTCGGCTGCGTGCTCATTTCCCCTCAAGTCGAGGCACCACCTTTGCTCAGTTCGTCCGGGCGTCAGTGCGTGGTTGCATCATCACAACATCCTGTTTTGGCTGTGTCATTTCAGTGACAAGTGTTCTGAACCAAAACTGAAAATGCAATTTGGAGTGGCCGAATTTTTGCTGCATCCCTAGATCCATCTTTTTTTGCAACTTCATTCTGCAGCATTGCAACAAAAGTGCTTTACAAGAAGCAATAGGCAGTAGCTATAAGGGATGGACACAAGTTGAGGAATAAGTGACAGAAAGACCACAACTAGACAGCTGCTTCTGTTCAGCATTAAACACACTGTTAGTGGTTTGGCCTGGCCACAAGTACGGGGCGTGTATGTGTGTGTGTGTGCGTGCGTGCGCGCGCAAGACCACAAGAACGTGGCCCCGTGGAGAGCAGTTAAGGGGCTGTAAATCTAAAGGAAGGAAGGAGCAGGCGGCAGGCCAACCCACACAAACACTGGCATCATTCTGGGAGGAGCCTTAGTGACTGAGTGTTGCGTGTGCGTGTGTTATATGCATGCCTCCTTGCCTGCCTACAGATGTAAATGCACAAACACCACCACAGTGATTTCATCTGGTGATTTCCTAATAGAGTTGAGGATACTTACCACTTTGTTAGTGTTGGGAGTGCGTGCAGCAATGCGTTCATATTCCTCTATCTTTGACTGGTCAATATCTGCCTTTAGTTCCCAGGTGGAGTCTTCATAGGGTAGACTACACCATTTCACCAAATATAAGGTCACCTGCTGAAAACATTTGCACAACACGGGAGAGCATGTGCGTAAGACAGCTACAAACCCATATAAAATAAAGGGGAGATCAAGCTACCTCTCCGTTTTCGTCTGTGCTCTCTGAAATGTCCAGGACGCGATCCACCTCCACATAGTCAGGGTTGAAAGGCTCATCATCCATCTGGACAGAAACCAAGAATGAGTTTATCGTTGGAAGTTGTGTTGCAGTTATAGCCTGAATTGGGAAGGGGCCAAAATTAAACTAGACAATAAATACCTGTCTGTATAAGGGTTGAACAGGAAACATCAGAGCGTATACCAAACGAGGACAAAAGAAATTCTGATGCCCATCAGAAATTTGCCGATGGAACCCTATGCAGTGGTTAATAATTGTTCTAATTATGTGTGGACAGTATGGTTTCGCATTATAGTCAAAGGTGCAATCTTGTGGATTAATGGTCTGAGTGAATCAGCACGCTTGCAGCATATTACCGAACGCACCCATGATGAGGGAACAGGAGTTTTCAGGAGCGATGACATCTAAGGTGCGTTTGGAAATCTCAGAGCCTTGTTGAAATGTGCTGGTTGGTTATACAGAGTGCACCAAAAACAGCGTGCCGGTGCGCACTCCAGGTGTACCAGCTGGGGACACACTTCGCCAGTGGGTGAGGTAGTCCAGGTGGAAATGAGTTCAAGAACGAGCTAATGATTGGTTTAGTATATAGGAAATTAATGAGAGGGGCGCGCGCTCTGCCTCTCCCAACACACACTCGTGTCAGAGTGAATTTCCGAACACGACCCTAATACGTTCATGGTCTCGGTTTTTAAAACAAATCATGTTCAACTGGACTTGGCCACTTTGAACTGAGCACATCCCGCTTGTGAGCACTACAATGTGAGCGAAGGGTCAACTGAGGGGTTGATTGTCTGAATCAAGTCTTACCTCTGTGATAAAAGTGTTGAGTAGTTGTTTGGCCTTGAACCTTTTGACCTTCTGCTGTATTCTCTTGTCTTTCTCCAGTTCCTCTAACTCTGCCCAACGACAATGGAGGTAAGAACTGGAAAAAAAGGGAAAAATAACCATTTTAAGGGCAGAAACAAGTAATGCTTATCATTTACAAATTATTTTGTAGAGGGGGACAATAGGGGTGATATACGGGTTTCTCTCCGGCCAAATTGTCTCAAAACGACGCGAGGGTGATTACCCGAGCAATCAATGGGAGGAGAGGGAAAAAAATCAATTGATTCTAGGCAGATTTGTTCATGACATGCCGAGTTACTATTAGTAATTAATGACTTCACATTTACATGAAGGCGCTGATCATGTCAAATACTGAATGAATATGATAACATTTTCCTTAAAAGACTTGGGTCGAGCACTACAAATATAACTGGAACGACTGAGAAATTTAAAAAGCGTGTACTGTATGAGCTGGACACAGCAGTGAGAAAGAGCATGTCAGAAAAGTGGGTCTCACTCCTGGAGAAGAAGAAAAATGCCAAGTGCGCCACTCACAAGCCCTTGAACTTGACGTAGAACTCCTCAACCTCCACTTCCTCCAGTGACTCCAGCTGAAAGGCGAGGGAAAAATAAAAGGCAGGCTTGTTACTAGAAAATACCGATGAACGGGCGGAGAGTATTTCAGAAAACTGGAAGCTTGACAACATGAATGCAATTTGGCTGGACAAGCGCAAACTGGCGTCCGTATTCTTCAAGAGGACTCGCACGGAGGTAGCGCACACAAAAGGTCAACAGCAAGGTGGTTTAAATACGCGTCAAAGCACATTTGTTTCCATTCATGCTCCGTGTGCTTGAAAGAAGACACAAATCCTTGGAAGAAACTGCTGCTCTTTCATTATCCATTACTTATTTAACACAAACGCGCACACGCTCCGCCACGCTGCTGCTACCACTACTACGGTTATGCCATGAATCATCAATCACACTCACACACAGCCTGAGGAAATGCTAGCTTGGTGTCTGGCACTGCTCTCGTGTTGTGGTTTTGGCTGTATGCCAAGCCTGGGGTCAAATCTGAATGGTATGTGTGTGTGTGACAGAAAGAAAAAACAAGAGAGAAAGAGAACAAGAAAGATCAGGAGTGTGTGCGGGAGAGAGTGGACTGGAGTGGCAAGACACCCAAATATGTTTGCAGCAAATTTTAGGCCCTCCCCCACACTTCGAGCATTTCCATTTGCGCAATTCTTGAAAATTTGAACCAGTAACTTTCTGTGTAATTGATGCATTGTTATGGGCTACGTGGAGTGGTGCGTGCATGTGTCTAGATCTAGCTCACCTGTTTCTTGGTGGTACGCACACCCATGATCTTCTCCACAACTGGCCCATCAGCTTCAACTACATCCTAGAACCCAAAAATAAGTGCGACCCAATCAACACTAGTACATGTTTGACGTACAACATGAAGTAGGGATAGACAAGCCTGACAAGTTTAGACATTCGGGATGTCCTGATCCGATCACGTGATTTTCATCCGATTGGGGATGGAGGCAAAAATGACACAGTTATGTACCATGTATATTTCTATAGTAAATTTGAGACTATTTGTAAACATGCTTTTTTTAAAAAAAATGTATTGCAGAGGAATCTGACCAGGACTCAAGATAAGCAGATCCTTAAAACCGAAGCCTCGGACGACAAAAAAGTGTGTTCGGGAAATCCCCGTGAGATATCATTCAATACCACATGACTGCAGTTGCACAAAAACTTGTAACCTTTACATCTACACCCAGACTGTACCTGCAGCTGTGTTGATGACGATGGGGACTTTGGTGTGGGTGAATCGTCTCCGCTGTCGTCATCTTCCGAAATTCGGAACTCCAGGTCCTCTGTATAACGCTTCCTCTTCACTTGTCGGCTGGAGCGCCGCTTCTGATGTGCAGAAAAGGAGAGGTGTGAAGCGTTTCCTTCGGGATGCCTCGTTAACCAGCCTACCCATTTGAACTTTATACAGTTCGAGCGACAGTCAACAGTTGCGGGGGGACATTGTAGGGTCTTCGATCAGAGAGAGAGAGAGAGAGAGAGCGAGAGAGAGAGCGAAAAAAAAATAAGACAGACAGAAAGAAAGAACAAGAGAGAAAGAGAACAAGAAAGATCAGGAGTGTGTGCGGGAGAGAGTGGACTGGAGTGGCAAGACACCCAAATATGTTTGCAGCAAATTTTAGGCCCTCCCCCACACTTCGAGCATTTCCATTTGCGCAATTCTTGAAAATTTGAACCAGTAACTTTCTGTGTAATTGATGCATTGTTATGGGCTACGTGGAGTGGTGCGTGCATGTGTCTAGATCTAGCTCACCTGTTTCTTGGTGGTACGCACACCCATGATCTTCTCCACAACTGGCCCATCAGCTTCAACTACATCCTAGAACCCAAAAATAAGTGTGACCCAATCAAGCCTAGTACATGTTTGACGTACAACATGAAGTAGGGATAGACAAGCCTGACAAGTTTAGACATTCGGGATGTCCTGATCCGATCACGTGATTTTCATCCGATTGGGGATGGAGGCAAAAATGACACAGTTATGTACCATGTATATTTCTATAGTAAATTTGAGACTATTTGTAAACATGCTTTTTTTAAAAAAAATGTATTGCAGAGGAATCTGACCAGGACTCAAGATAAGCAGATCCTTAAAACCGAAGCCTCGGACGACAAAAAAGTGTGTTCGGGAAATCCCCGTGAGATATCATTCAATACCACATGACTGCAGTTGCACAAAAACTTGTAACCTTTACATCTACACCCAGACTGTACCTGCAGCTGTGTTGATGACGATGGGGACTTTGGTGTGGGTGAATCGTCTCCGCTGTCGTCATCTTCCGAAATTCGGAACTCCAGGTCCTCTGTATAACGCTTCCTCTTCACTTGTCGGCTGGAGCGCCGCTTCTGATGTGCAGAAAAGGAGAGGTGTGAAGCGTTTCCTTCGGGATGCCTCGTTAACCAGCCTACCCATTTGAACTTTATACAGTTCGAGCGACAGTCAACAGTTGCGGGGGGACATTGTAGGGTCTTCGATCAGAGAGGGACAGTCAGAGCGTCTGTACATCATGCACAGCAAACAAGACTTGAGACTATTCGGAATTGTGCTCCACAAGGTCAATTTGACCCCCCACACCCCCCCCAAAACAACAAAATAATCAATAAAAATACCATGCGGTTAGTGCTGTCAGGGTGACAAATGACTTCATGCACTCAACAGGCAAATCAGGATTTTCAGCTGTTTATAAACTTCTTCTTCTTAAGAAGAAGAAGTTTCTTATACTTAGTTTCTTCTTATACTTCTGTTTAAATGTGGTTTTTTTTTAATGCTCGCCAGGCCCTTCTAATTGTCTCCCACACAAGTGGCCATGTTTAAGCTGGGGATAAAATGGAGGTGCATGTCAACTTGGCGCTGAAGGACAAGCTGCAATGGTTGTCAACGAGGTTTGTTTACGTAGGAGAGGTGTGAAGCGTTTCCTTCGGGATGCCTCGTTAACCATCCTACCCACTTGAACTTTATACAGTTCGAGCGAGAAGTCAACAGTTGCGGGGTGACATTGTAGGGTCTTCAATCAGAGAAGGACAGTCAGAGCGTCTGTACATCATGCACAGCAAACAAGACTTGAGACTATTCGGAATTCTGTTCCACAAGGTTAATTTGACCCCCCACCCCCCCCCCAAAAAAACCCAACAACAACAACAAAATAATCAATAAAAATATCATGCGGTTAGTGCTGTCAGGGTGACAAATGATTTCATGCACTCAACAGGCAAATCAGGAATTTCAGCTGTTTATAAACATACTTCTGTTTAAATGTGTGTTTTTTTTAATGCTCGCCAGGCCCTTCCAATTGTCTCCCACACAAGTGGCCATGTTTAAGCTGGGGATAAAATGGAGGTGCATTTCAACTTGGCGCTTAAGGACAAGCTGCAATGGTTGTCAACGAGGATTGTTTACGTTTGATTTGTACCGCGTGAACGCTTCCCTAAATGTTCTCAAGGACTTCTGTACCTGCACACCATCCTGCGCGGCAGGCGGAGACTTCACCTCCACGTCTTCGCTGACTGATGACTGTCGCTTCCTCTTGGAATCCTTCTTGGCAGCAACGGCGCCATCTTCGGAATCCGCCTTCTTACTGCTCCAGGGATATTTGAAGACAACAACAACAACAACAAAAAAATAAACATTTCTTGGGAAAAATTATACACAAGAAAAATTACTGTTGCTAGTTTGTCAGTGTTTGGCAACAACAAAATAATCAATAAAAATATCATGCGGTTAGTGCTGTCAGGGTGACAAATGATTTCATGCACTCAACAGGCAAATCAGGAATTTCAGCTGTTTATAAACATACTTCTGTTTAAATGTGTGTTTTTTTTAATGCTCGCCAGGCCCTTCCAATTGTCTCCCACACAAGTGGCCATGTTTAAGCTGGGGATAAAATGGAGGTGCATTTCAACTTGGCGCTTAAGGACAAGCTGCAATGGTTGTCAACGAGGATTGTTTACGTTTGATTTGTACCGCGTGAACGCTTCCCTAAATGTTCTCAAGGACTTCTGTACCTGCACACCATCCTCATCCTCCTCCTCTGTAGGCGAGGCAGGCGGAGACTTCACCTCCACGTCTTCGCTGACTGATGACTGTCGCTTCCTCTTGGAATCCTTCTTGGCAGCAATGGCGCCATCTTCGGAATCCGCCTTCTTACTGCTCCAGGGATATTTGAAGACAACAACAACAACAACAAAAAAATAAACATTTCTTGGGAAAAATTATACACAAGAAAAATTACTGTTGCTAGTTTGTCAGTGTTTGGCCTTTCACCAAGGCGTGTGTGTGTGTGTGTGTGTGTGCGCGCGCGCACGTATGCCTGTCCCAGGGCAGTCGCCATGTTTGATTTACCCATTTAGAAATCATTAGTGTGCCTCAGGCTTTGGAACACAGGGGGTTAATATGATGAAAGACCACAGGGGGGTGGAGGGAGCAAGATGGAGAGATGCAAGCAGAGAGGAAGCACACAAGGGCCCAGAGAGAGAGAGAGAGCGAGAGAGAGAGCGAGAGAGAGAAAGAAAGGGAGGGGCGAGGTTGAGAGGCTCTCATGCTTCCTCTAATCTCTGGCATGGAAAGAAAGAGGAGCTGGGTGTGTGGTGTACACACACTATACAGCAAGTCCAGAGGACACTCATGTACCATGCACTTCGGCACGTGCGCAAGCAGCACTGCCCACATTCAAAATCAGTTGTCGCAGAAGAGGGACAAAAGAATACAAAAGCGAATTGGCTTCGGTGCCCATTGGAACTTTTCCTCAATACGATTCAGAACTGCAAAAGAAACTTGACATATGTCCACTGGAAAGCACATGACTGTCGTTCCACCAATCGGTCAAATCTCAGAAACGTCAGCTCTTGGCCAGGAGGTGTCACAGTTCAACTAAACGGTTGCAAAAATAAGTTAAAATAGACTGGCATGGTGGCAGGTGACCACAAAGTATCCGCCCTGATAGGCTTCAATTGTTTGCAATTGAGCGCGTGTAGGATACGTGTGTAGACTACGAACGGATTCCAGGAGTAAATGAAACGAAACTGTTTACGTACAGTTATATGATGTTGAATGACATGGAGTCTATTGAAAGCAAGTCGAGTGTCACATTTTTGCATTTTACGTCAAGACCTGGGGTATAAAGACTTGAAATCAGAACCGGGCGCCAAGAGAACTGCACGCACTGAGTTTCATCATCCGAGCGGATTCAGATGACATACTGTATCTCCCAGCCTGCCCTTCTGCATCACAGCATGGAGGTGCATCTCTCTCCCTCCCTCCATCCGTCCGTCCCTCCACGAGGCCCTCCCGCTTGCTAGCTCACTCACTCCCTTGCTGTCCCTGGGGCCCTTCTCCTTTCATCCCCACGCCAAGAGCAATAACC